AAAAAAAAAGTGTATATGTACATATGTCCTATTCCAAATGGTTTCCGAGATGGAGCTCTTTCACTGTACAGTTGCAAAATTGTTGATAAAAAGGGATATTAAGTAATGTTTCAAATACCGGTATTTATTGTTCAAGTGATAAAGGTGGTACAGTTTACCTAGTATAATACATTTTCGAAAATTCCACCGTCAACAATGCATTTTGCAACTCGTGTGACGACATGGCGTGTTACTCGTATGAGTGTAGCTTGACGTTCCTTTATGCAGGGAATAATATCCATTATGTATGTGATGGAGCAGTTCGTCTCGTGTATCCACTTTTCTTCTGTACACTTTGCTCTTCATCCAACTCTAAACAAAAATCTAATGCAGTTAGGTCTGGAGATCTCGGTGGCCAGTTAATGATACTCCCACGACCGATCCACATATGAGGGAAAGTCTCGTTGAGCTGTTGCATCACAAGTCGGGTATGATGAGAATGGGCTGCGTCATGCTGAAAGTATATAGGAATTCGTGTAGCCAAAGAAACATCCTCTAGTTGTTCTGGTAATCCAATTTGCAGAAAGTCTCGGTTATTTTATCCTGTCATACGATCGTTTAAATAACGGGACCACTCAACATGACATCGATCATACCGCACCATATACTGTTAGCGAAACAATGCTGAAAATTTGTTTCCACGCTATTATTCGCATGTGGATTATCTTGAGACCATCGATGCGAGTTACGTGTGTTGCTGATTCCGTAACGAGTGAAATTAGCTTCATCAATGAATAATACTGATGGAAGAAACTGACGATTAGTATGTAACCAGTAACCATATTCTAGACGCACTGCACTGCCCGTGTGTGTAGATTTTGCACACTCTGTAAATGAAATGGGTACAAGCCGTCATCATGCAAAAGTTCGTGAAACACCGAGACGTGTAGAAAGTCTTCGCGTGCTACGAATAGGGCTACGCTGTACCATTTCAAGAATGTTTTCCTGTCCTCCACATGTTGTTGACATGCTAGTTCAGACGAGGCATGAGCACTGGGAAGTGTACCAAGTTCACGCAATGTATTGAATATCATGGAAAACACTCATCGATCCGGAATTCTGTGCAAATAAAACCGTCGACGGTATTCTTGAACAGCAGTACTGGTACTACCTTCGCAGAAGCCGTAAACGTACAGCATATCGGCATATTCAGCATTTGTGAAGATGTGAGGCATTTTTCACAGCACTCCTACAATGTCACTATCAGCAGTCACAACGGTCAACTGACGCTTCACACTGGTTCATATGCTTCTGACAACGGCGCAATACGGCAGGAGGGAAGGATAATATCGTGCGCCAAATGCAAACTACTGTACAGTGAATTAGCTATACCTCAGAAACCGTTCGGAACAGGACACATATAAACATAACACATTTTTGCTTAGAATGACCGACAGTATGACCTCCCAATAATACTGACCTTTCCTCCTGGAACATCCTGTATATGAAAGAAGCAAACAGTGTTTAAGCAGTGGCGAATGTTTCGTTTTTGTTGCTAGCCAGTTGCCAGGCCATTAAATCTGAAAGAACATAACAATAAAAAAAGTTCTTTTATTGAAGGAAAGCTCCCGCGTTTGCTTACATAGTACGATCAGCTGCATGCATGAAGTAACTTACGCGCATGCGCCACTGTGGCAAAAGAAAAAAGGGCGACGGGGAGGGGGAGCGAGAGAGAGTTATACCGTTCTGCTAGTGCGGGGTTGCATTTCCGCATGACCCGACTTTTAGGATAGGGTTGGCATTGTCTTTAGGGTTGTATTCAATTAGATGCTCGCCAATTTAAAAAAGCCCCAAGTGGATACAATGATTCAATTTAATATAATCGTCTCTGATATCGATACTGAATTCCACAATGACATCTTATAACATTTATTAAATGAGTATAAAATGTTCTTATGTTTATGGCCCATCTGTGTGTGTTTATGTATGTACCATTATTCCTTTTACTGGACCGACACAAACCAAGGTAAAATCTGTCGACATCTTTTAGTGCAGACCCGCACTGTGTGTGAAGAGCTACACTTGGATGCTAACGCCACCGGCGCCGGCTTCATGCGATCTCATACAGATCATGATGCTGAATTGAAAAAACTGAGACAACAGACAACACAACAGATTGCTTCCCAGTAACATTATGTCAGACGATACATGCACTAATATGGTCACTTCCAGCCACTAAGCATGTCAACAACCAAACCATTCATGGCGGGTGCGACTTACCCGCTCACGGCTGGGAAGGGGGCTTGGCTGCGAAAAAACTCCGCCGTCGATAAAACCGAGCATACGGAAATCACACTTTCATCAACAACGAATATTTAGCTTAGGATGACATAATAATATGAGGGTGGTTCAAGGTTGTCTTGGACATTTTCTTTCATTTGTTTTTGGAAAAAAAAAATATTGTCATGTACTCGTATTTACTGACTAGATGGGGTGTGGATTAGTAATAGGATTTATTGCACACTTACTTACTTACTTACTTACTTACTTACTTACTTAGCGGCCTCCGTAGTCTACAGGTAACGTTCCCAACTCATGACTCGTAGTACGCGGGTTCAAATACCCGGCGGAGGTCGTCGAATTTTTAAGGGCGGAAAAATTCAGGGAACAAGTCCTCCGGGAGGGACTTTAAGCCGTGGGTCCCCTGTCGTAGCTTTACGGTACGTAAAAGAACCTCATACATCCAAAGGAGGTCACTGAGCAAAATTGCGGACGTTTGCCGCCCAACAGCAGTCACTAATACCTCCGGTAGATAGGGGAAGCATTATAGATACTTCTCAGCCAGTAGAGCCGGTCTCGCTGGCTGGGCGGGACTGATGGTAAGCACCAATACCGGCAGGATATAGAGGCTGGTAGAAATCATAGAGGGAAGCACAATGGACCACTACAGGTCTAAGTGCATGGGGAAACCCACCCTCTCTAATAATTAACCACTTACTTACTTACTCATGGAGCTGAGCCCTTCTTGAGGAGCCGCAAATTCTGCAGCTACTCAAGAATTTCCCAGCATTTTATGGAACCTGAAATTTCACCACCCTGTTCACAAGAGCCCTCCACTGGCCCCTATCCTGAGCCAGATCTATCCAATCCATACCATCCCATCCTATCTCTCTAAGATCCATTCTAATATTGTACACCCACCTACGCCTTGGTCTTCCCTGTGGTCTCTTTCCTTCATACAGAACCACAGGCAAAATTATAGTTTTGTATATTCTAATTTGTATGTTTTTGGACAACAGACGAGAAGACAAAAGGTTCTGGACAAAATTCGTGGTTTCAGTCCGCAAGCGAACTATACCGATGGAGCGA